AAAATTATGTCAGCTGTAACCTGTTTCTCTTGGAAGGGACCAGAACCGGGGGTGGGAAGAGGGCCCCTGCAGGAACAGTGACGGGGGTGGGGACATTCTGGGCTGCAGGAAGCTCCCAGCCTGTGGTCTCTGGCCAGATCCTGCTGTGTGGCCTTGGGTACACTGTGTCTGTTCTCTCTGGCCTGCCATTTATTTTTATTTCATTTTCTGCTTTAGGATAAGGTGTATGCACTCTCTAGAGAGAGACAGAGAGACAGAGAGAAGGAGAGGAGAAAGCACTCCCATGAGGAATGGCCGCATACAATCCCTTCTCCATTCTCCTCCCAGAGGCTTGAACTGCCCCATCTGTAACATGGGATCCAGCCTCCTTCACCTCTAGCCTTCATCTTTAATAATTTTGTTTGATTTTTTTCCCCAGAGGCTTTTGCTATAGGACGCGTGCGCTCGCCAGAGAGACAGGGAGAGACAGAAAGCGAGAAATCACCCTCCCCCCCCAGGGGGATGGCCACACCGCAATCCCTTCTCCTCCATTCTCCTCTCGGGATCTTGGGAAGGCACGCACACGCGCCCGGCTTAGAGTTTAAGCCACTGGGTCTGGGACTCGAACCATGGTCGACTACGTGGGAGTCCAGCACCGTAGCCATTACGCCAACTGCTGGGCCCATCCTGCTGTTAATTTTATGCTGTGTGAATTTCACTTCAATTTTTAAAATGTTGTTTTTCATGTTTGGGAGTTTCTCGAGGGTGGTTCCTGGGTGACTTAAATTTTTTTCTGTTTTTTTTTTTTTCTTCTTTTTTAATTTGTTATAGGGTGTGTGCACTCGCCAGAGAGAGAGACAGAGACAGACAGACAGAGAGTGAGAAAAAGTAAGAAATCACCCCCTGGGTGGATAGCCACACGACAGTCCCTTCTCCACTCTCCCGTAGGGATTTAGGGCATACATGCAATTGTACCTGGTGTGTTTTTCAAGCCACCGGGTCCAGGGCTCACACCATGAAATCAACCATGTGGGAGTCCAATGTTTTAGTCACTATGCCACTGGCGGACCTAGGTTTTCCAAATTTTAGATGATGGCCCTTCAAGTCTTCTGATCTGTGGTTTTCTTTCTTTCCTTTAAAAAAATTTTTTTAAAGGGACCAGCAGGTGGCGTGGTGGTTAATGTACCGGACACTCCCACATGGCCCGCCATGGTTTGAGTCTGGGACCTGGTGGCTTGCTCGCTCTCTCTCTAGTCTCTGCGGTCCATGTGTCTCTGCAGTCTGTGTGTGTCTCTGTGCAGGCTGTGTCCCTGAGGTCCATGCGCGTGTCTCTGCGTGTGCCGTGTCTCTGTGGTCCGTGTGTGTCTCTGCAGTCCGTGTGTGTCTGTGCGTGTTGCATTGGTGTGTAGTTTGAGGAACCGAATCCCCTTTGCCGTGGCTGCACCCACGGGGCCCTCCCAAGCCCTCCCCGGTGACCTCACACCCCTCTGACCTCGCACCCCCAGCTCACAGACCTCAGCCTTGGCTCCCAGGCGCACCCCAAATCCAACCTCTTCTGTCTGTCACCCCGGGGCCCCGATCCTCACTTCCGGCAAACCCAACCCACCCGCACGCACCCCACTCCACCCCACTCCGCCCCTCCGCCTCCCTACTCCCTTCTGCTCCGGCTCTCCCTCTCCCAAATCTGCCAGAGGAAGCTGTGAACCCTACAACTCTCCGTGGCTCCCAGTGCTCCCCTCCACGCATGTACACACACACACACACACACATGAACATGCACACACACACACACGCACACATGCACACTCACACAAACACACACACTGTCTCCCTCCCTCTCCTCTTCAGGGCAAACCTCACTCCAGGGCATGGGGGAGGTTCCTCCTGTGGCCGCCCCAAGCCCCGCCTCCCCCCCCCCCCAAGCCCCCCCCCCTACGCCCCCCCTCCCCCCCTCTCCCAAGCCCCGCCTCCCACCCTTCCCCAAGCCCCGCCTCCCACCCTTCCCCAAGCCCCACCTCCCTCCCCAAGCCCCGCCCTCCCACTGCCTGCCCTCCGTGTCAGCGCCATCCTCCCCGCCAGGTCAGGGCAGGTCCTCAATGCTGGCTCCAACCCCCACGTGCCCTGTGGCCACCATGGAGGTCCCCTGGTTGCCCACACACCAGGTGGCCGCCAGGCTGCACTCCCGCGCAGGTGACCGCCGTTTGTGCCCTGAAGCTCAAGCTGGGCTCGAGTGCAATACCCTAAAGAACGGTGGAGAAGGGACTGCGGGGCGGCCATCTCTGAGAGGCCACCTCTCTGTCCCTGACTCTCTTCAGCCACCTTACGCTTCCAGGGCAAAAACCTTGGGGAAAAAATGTGGGGCCGGTGGCTTAAACTCACGCAGAGCGCATGTGCGTGCGTGCCCAAGATCCCGAGAGGAGAATGAGGAGAAGGGATTGTGGCGTGGCCATCCCCCTTGGGGGTGATTTCTCCCTTTCTGTCTCTCTGTCTCTCTGTCTTTCTGGCAAGTGCATGTGCCCTATAGCAAAAACCTCTCCAAAAAAAAAAAACCAAACAAAAAGAACTGGAAACAGATGTTCAAACAGATGTGCACACATGTTCATAGCAGTGTGATTCAGTTTCTTTTCTTTCAATTGCTACTGGGTATGTTTGCTGGCCAGAGAGACAGAGACAGAGAGAGGGAAAGTGAGAAATCACCCTTCAGGGGGATGGCCATGCCGTAATCCCTTCTCCTCCATTCTCCTCTGGGGATTTTAGGCATGCACACACACACATGCCTGGAGTGTTTATCTGGCCACCGGGTCCAGGACCTCAACTTCACAGGCGGCCCTGTGAGATCCAGTCACGTTAGCCACCATGCCACCTGCTGGCCTCTATTGAGAATATCTAAAAGGTGGAAACAACGCAGTGTCCATCAACAGCTGAATGGATAAACAAGAAGCAGTCAGTCCATCCACACAGTGGAATATTACTCAGCCATGAAAAGGAATGAAGGTCTGACCCAGGCTACGTGAATGAACCTCGAACTCATGAGGCTGAGTGAGAGAAGCCAGACACCGAAGGCCACGCAGTGTGGGATCCACTTAAGGGAAATGTCTTAAATAGGCAGATCATAGAGACAGGAAGTGGATTAGTCAGGGGCTAGGGGCGGGGCAGTGACAGATTCTCCTGGGGTGACAAAAATGTTTGGAATTAGACAGAGGTTGCAAGACATTGTGAGCATCCTGAATGCCATAGAATTGTTCATTTACAAAGAGCTGACTGGGGGCTAGCAGGTGGCATGGTTAAGGCACTGGACACTCCCACATGGCTGCCCACGGTTTGAGTCCCGGACCTGGTGGCTTATAACTCATGCCAGGCACATGTGCATTGGGGGAGAAGGGATTGCAGCGTGGCCATGGCTCCAGGGAGTGATTTCTCGCTTTCTGTCTCTCTGTCACTCCAGCGAG